ATCTGTCACAGCCCCCCTGCCAGAGTATCTCCTGATACTCCAGCATATCCGATAATCGGACACCCCCTGGGTCCCAAAGGTGCCGGATTATCGGAAGTCTGCTGAATTTGCTATTTATAGGGCTAAAATGCTGGGACAAAAACAAACAAAAAAATGTGCAAAGTGCAAATGTGTAAAAGCCAACAAAAAGGGGGGGGATTTTTTGCTTGGGGGGGCAAGAAACCTAGAGCTGGCCCTGGCTGTGGGGGGTGAAAAGTGACCTGCCTCCGCACCAGGAGATGGTCCCATTAAAAAAATGACTTCACGCTCCTTGTGTGTCTGTTCCCTGGAATACCAGTTCGCTTGAACTCCTGTTGGCTTACTTGACCACGCTGGCTGTCATCCCAGGGCACAGGTGCAAACTGCCTGTGTTAGGGACACAGCAGGGACCCCCCAAAGGAGCGAAAGTGCCTGTGGCCCAGCGAGTTCGTCACATCTCTGCTTCAGTCGCCCTTTCGCCCTTTCCCATTCCCCCGCTGCGCCTTTCTCCGGGCTGCTTCCATGCGAGCGGCGGCCTTGCAAGGTGCCCGCACTACAGTCGAGTTGCCATGTGTTCTTATTGCTGCTGTGAACCCCTCCGCCCTCTTCTGCCGCCACCCGCTCCGGTGTTGGCTGCCCCCGTCCCCTGGGATGTCTCCACTGTGGTTTCAGCTCTTGGCTTTGGTTGTGCGTGCCAGCCTGTGTGACGGAGAGCTCTGCCGCCCCAGCAGAAACCGATCTCGCGCGGGCAGGAGGCTGGCGCTGAGCTCTGGAGAGCTCCTCTCTTTCATTGCAGGCATTTCCTAGGAGCAGCTGAGTCAGTGCAGCCCGCTCCTCCTTCTGCTCCCGCTTGGCCTGGCCTGGGAGTGGAGCTGGCAGCTTTCTCTGACGCTCAGCCGTGGGATTTGCTTAAAGCCTTTAGCGTCTGCTACTGATCCAAGTGCCTCTGCCTCCTGGCTCATTTCTCTCCTGTCCGCTTGGGAGCCCCGTGTAGCGCCAGGCGCTGCAGAGGCCTCCCCTTGTCCAGGTGCAGGGTCTGGGTGGAGGTTATGGAGAAAATAGTCCAGACAAGGCCTGGTTTTGAACAGTTCACCAGGGTTCTGGTAGCTTTCCAGCTGTTCCACCCCTCACACCGGTTGGGGGGGCCCTCAGGGCGGCCCGGGGGACCTGGCACTGGCAGCAGGGGTCTGCCCCCACACTTCCTGACGGTGGCGAGCAGCAGAATGCTCCACTTCCCCCAAGCCGCCTCCCCCCAGCTCCCGCTGGGAGCCTAGGTCGCTCCGCTTCCCACTGCCGGGGAGTGCGGGCACAGGCCCCCCGCCAGGCCCCTGGGCTGCACTGGGG